CTGGGACCTTCAGCCCAGCACCCATTCCTTTCTGGGCCACGCCCACACCTCTGCAGAGAGGAGGGAGAGGTCACCTGTATTCTTCTTAGCTGGACAGGCTCTACAGGGACACTTCCTTGCTCCCTCAAAGTTGCTATAAAGTCTGAAAGCAGTGATGGTTTTGGGCTGATTGGACTACAAAGGAGGTGTGGCGCTGGAAAAAGGACGGGGCCCCCTGCCAGCTTCCCACACACCAGCCATTTCTGATGAGAGGGACAATGACTAGGACTGGGGCGTGCCCCATGCCACCTCCCCCCTCAGACTTTATAAACCCTCATGCTAGAAAGGAACATGTCTAGAAAGAACATTATTTGAAGAAAACATTTGCTGTGCAACAGTTACCAGGTCAAAGCCCTTCCTTCCTAGGACTCGTCGTGTTTCCAGCCCGGTGGGCGGGCTGACCGCAGCAGCTCCTGCTCGGGCAGGCACCGCTCTCGGCTCTGGCCCTGACCGTGCTTATCATCCCACCACTTTGGCAAGTTTAGGCCAAATCACAATCTATCTGTCTTCTTGGCTGGAAGGAACAGCTGAGGGCACAGGCTGGGACTGCCCGAGCGTGCTTACCTTGGGGTCCCCAGCATCTGGCAGCGAGTGGGCCATGTGCAGCCCGCCTCAGTGGTTTTAAGTCAGAGGCATGGTCATGGCTGCTGACCGGCGCTGTGGGCATTTGCTGGTGTTTGTGTTTTGGACAATTTTGCTCTAAAATAAATTATAGTATTTGGACGAACTAAAGGTTGAGAACAGGAACCTTGGTTCTGTATTTTCTAAGTAGACTGTTCTGATCCAGAATCAAGATAAATTATGTCCCCTCTGAGCGGCTGAACCCATCGGAAATTTTAAGAGTTTGCTGCCCTCTTGTGGTTCAGAGTGAGAAAACGACTGCCATTCTCTTCCGGATAGCTTGTTCGTTCATTTGTTCTATAGTTACGGAGCAAGGCCACCAGACAGTGTGGGGCAAATGAGATGACCGTACATGGTCTCCGCTTATGCAGTTCCCAGGCTAGTGGGGGTGCCTTTTCACAGAACCAAGGTCCGAAGGCAACAGACACCTTGGCTTGCACAAAGGGGCTGCAGCACCCTTACCTAACTAACTAGGCTGCTTGGCCAGAGATGGCAGAGACCCCAAGCTGTCAGGGGGCCCCAAGGTGAGCCACCAGCAGTCTTTGATAACGAGTCACCTCCCTTGTGAATGGCAGAGCTGATCAGCACAAATCAGATCTTTCAACTGGCCTCCCTATCTTACCCTCCTTCCTTCCTTTTTTCCTTTTCTATTTAGGGATCCTTATCTTCTCCAAAACGTCTCTCCTTTTCCAACCCCTAATGTAAGTCTGCTTTGCCTCCTGTGATGGGCTGAATTGTATCCCCTCAAAACTCCTAAGATGAAGGCCTAACTTCGACTTTATTTGGAGATAGGGCCTTTCAAGAGGTGATTAAGTGAAAATGAGGCTGTTGGGGTGGGCCCTAACTGAATCCGACTGCTGTCCATATGAGAAGAGAAATATGGCCACACACATATAAAAAGAAAAGGCCACCAGAAGGCAGCCATCTGCAGGCCAAGGAGAGAGGCCTCAGGAGACATCAAACCAGATGACACCTTGATCTTGGACTTCCAGCCTCTCGAACTGTGAGAAAATAACTTTGTGTTTAAGCTACGATTTGTGAAATATCTGTTGTTGGCAGCCCTGGCAAACTAACACACCTGCTAACAGAACCAACTACTTATTTCTCAAAGGCAGCTGCTGCCGATTGAGGTTTTCAAAGACAGAAACACGGAGATATTTCTCCCCCCACAGACCCCCTCCGTCCCCTCCCCCAAGGGCCTGGCCAGTCCTGTATTTGCCCACAAGATCCTTAAGATAAACATTAAGCAGTTCTTTAATGTCACTTAATCTTCATAGAGATCTATTTCATCGATGAAAAAATCCCTAGAGTTAACTTGCCCAGGGTCACTAGCAGGATGCAAACTCAGTTCTGCCCCCAGGTACCATTTCTTTCTCTTTAGTTCAGAGGAGCTGGTGTGGTCCCAGGGAGGGTCATGGGATAGGAGCGAGAATCGTGTGACTGTCTGGTGTGAATGATGGTAAGCTGCCGGAAGACGGATCCATAAAGCCTGCTGATACTTGCAAATGCTGGTTCGGTGTCTTCCTTAACCCATTCAGAAAAAGCTCAATACCTCTGAAAAATTCTGGCATATACGAGGCAGGATGGGTCATTATATCCACACACCACCCTTACCCTGAAAGGTCTCTTTAACTAGCACACCTGTCTGAACTGACAGACCAAGGGGAGCTCATGTACATTCTGGCCTTTGTCAACAGTGACTCCTAACCACACTGTCATTCTTTCAAAATACATTTTATTAGTGGCACATGGAATTTAAAGTTAAGCAATTTCTTTCCAGAGAGAAGGTAAGTCCTGACAGACTAAAATAGTGAGCAGATATGTCACAGCAGAAATACCATTCCAGTGTCAAGAGACATGAATAGGAATACTCTCCCCAAGGAGAAAGGAAATCACTTTCTCTACCTTGCTGACCACACTGTATCACACCCATCTCAGTTGGGGGGCGGGTACCCCACAGCACTGGACAGTACAAGAATGCACTAAGTAACAATCCGTGTCATTTCTACATCCATCAGCTCTCCCTGTTGCAGGGGAGGCGGAGAGCTTGTGAGCCCCATTACCTGCTGTGAGGACTCAGAGGGTCTGTGGCAGGCAGAGCTGGCTCTGAGCAGCCGTGCTGGCTGCAGGAAAACACCAGTGAGCTGGCTCATGTGTGAGCCCAGGAAAACCCTCTGCCGTGAAGGAGCTCTGCAGAGCTCCATCTCCAGATCAGGGAGCTATGGGTTACCAGAGGGTCCTTTTAAAGTGTCTGGAAACATCTACATTAGTTAAGTCAGAGAAGACCTGAACTCTCTTAGAAAAATCAGTTTTTTGTTTTTGTTTTTTACCCATAATGTCTTTCACCCAGTATTCTGAGTTCAAACAAAGGCTGAATGAATGCCTTGAGGCCCACCTGGCCTTCTCCCATTCGTTCTGGGCTCCTGTCTCACTTTCAGGTTCCTCCAGCAAGTGCTTTCCTTCCCACTGCATCCCTTCGCAGGGTCCTGTGGGAAAGCGCAACCAGGAGAGCCCCAGACACGGGGCAGCTGTGTCGCTGCTGCGCGTGGGCCTCCCTGTTCCCAAGGCACGCTCTGCACCGAGGCAGTTTCTGTAGGGTTAAGCTCATGATGTCTCTTCTTTCTAACCTAGGACAACAGGGCTGCTCCGTGAGAAAGGCTCAGTAGTTTGTCCTCTCTGCTAATCTTATTTTGATCTTAATGTGGGCATTTCTCTCATCACTTCAGTCCGCCCCTCACCAAACATACAGACACTTATTGATCAAGGCAACAAAAAGAGTGACAGACTGCAGAATTTTTCCATTTCTAGATCTAATTGAGTAAGCTAAGTCTCCACACCAGGAAACTGTACTTTACCTCCAAGCTAGCATCTAGAATACAATCGTCCAGGGGCTTAGGGCAGGTCAGTGATGCTGGCTTCGCCCAGATCAATGCCAGCGTGCACCTTGCCGTCCTTGGCGGCCGCCCAGGGCATGGATGCCGAGGTCCACTTTACTGCCCAGTCTCCTGCTTTGTTGACCAAGATGACGCCGCCTAAACCTTTGACCTTTGACTTCATATAACCCAACGACAGGTCAGCAGCCTCTTCTAATGTCTTTCCTGAAAACAAGGAAAGGTTGAGAGATAACACATATTCTTTAGAAAGGAATCTGATGGAAAAATCACTTGCCATGTGGAAAACCAAAGCACGTTAACCAAAATTCGTGGTAAATGGTCTCTTTTTAAGTGCTTCAAAGAAGGCCGGCCCTCCTTGCACTGAGACGGGGTCCTGGCGCACCCTACGCAGAGCTCTTTTTTCCCACGCCCAGGTTCAAAGTTTCCCTACTGCCCCCAAGATGGGACAAACAGTATTCTATACGCTCTCCTATTCTAGTTCCTAAGAGAAGGTGGGAAGAGTCAAAATAGTGTTAGCAACACTTGTAGCAAATGAGAAAGGGTTTCAGCTACTTCTCCATCTATTTATAAACAGCTTCCATTTATTCGTCTCCAGATAATATGAACTTGTTCTACGTACCTTGTTCTACGTGGAAGAGAGTGAGTCTGGCCAGGTTCACCTTCAGGATGCTTTCTCCGTGCCCCGTGGTTGAAATGGCTCCAATGTCATTGTCAGCGTAACCTCCAGATCCTGCTCAAAAGAGGAGATTGGTTCTAACTGAGCAATAGTCAAAAAATTCAAACACATGTTACCAGTCAAATACTATATAATATTGAATCCCAAAGAGTACCAAAGTATAGACAAAGGTCAGATTAGTAGCCATGACCTTGGGATGCAACGGGGGACTAATAAGCCCCATGTGACTGCCCTTAATTCAGGATGAGGGAAGCTTGGGGTCGGGGGGTAGGCCTGACCTTTCATGGAGCAATTACATCAGGACAGTTCCTCCTCTGCCCCAAACCTATCTGGTCTGCACAGAGTGAAACATACACAACCACACCCGCCCCTACCACTCACCCACTCCAGGGGATTAGACAGTGTGCTGCAATCTTAATACAAACAACATTTTAATTAGTAATATTTTTGTAGTAGCAGTGTGTCACGTTAATGCCACTCAAATCTAATAAATGCAAACTTAAATTTTCATTTTTCTTAGTTCGTTAATTTGTGCCCATGCCTGGGAAGAGGTTATGTGCACTTAATCCTTTGGGAATAAGTCTGCAGATCCTGAAACTGGGGCTAGAGAGAAGAGACAGGCACTATGGGTAGCTTGGGGACAACTTTGGTACCCCCTATCTCCATCTCCCCCACAACCCAAGTCATTGCAAAAGACATGCAATCTAGAAAAACAGAGTGCCTACTAGATACAGATGCCCTCTCAAAGCAGTGCCCTAAATAACCCCTTCCAACCAAATGCCATTCCCAGAAATCCTGGCGCTGCTGCCAAGAAGAGGAAGGAAAGGAAGAAAGCGGAGAGGGGTGGAGAACAGAGAGGAAGAGGGGGCGGTAGTCATCCATCAAAATTACCTACACACGGCGTGTCCCCAACTCGGCCGGCCATTTTATTCACGATGCCCCCTGTCGAGGTTGCGTAAGCCATGTTTCCTTTGCAGTCCAAGGCAACAGCACCCACAGTTCCCAAGTTTCTGCCAAAAATAAACAGAAAACAGTGACAGGTTGAAAATGAGAAACATTCCAAGTAACAATGTAGCTTAATACCCAGTAAGCTTCCACACATATGGGACACACTTCAATTCCAACATTCCCGACGACTCCCGGAAGTGGTAGAGGGCCTGTTTTCTTTTCAGTCTATATGTCACTTAGACTGCTAGACATTCCTTTAGACCTCAACTTTAAGAGTGAGTACATCCAGTCCCCGCACCACCATTTTCTGGCTGTGTGGCTTGGTGAAGTTTTATTCTGTCTCGTTTTCCCCACCTATGAAACAGGGATAAAAATAACTGAGTGCAGCTCCAACTTGAGTATGCGTAAGAAATGCCTGTATCCCCAGGCCCATCCCCAGAGATCCTGAGTTGGTAGGTCCAGGATGGGACCCGAAACCGTACATTTCTCACAACCTCCCAGGAGATGCTGACGCTGCCCATCCAGACCCCACTTTGCCTGTTTCACAGTGTTTGCTGTAAAGATAAACTAAGGTAATTCCCCGCCCCCCCCAACATTTCATTATAAAATTTCAAGTTTAAAAAGCTGAAGAAATTGCACAGTAACAGCTACATACCCACCACCCAGACTCTGTACTGAGCTATATTTAAGGCACTTCTCTAAGTGTTGAGACACAGCAGTGAACTAAATGGACAAAGTCCCTTCTGCCATGAAGCTTGCATTTGGGGCAGAGGGTAACAGAGCAATGAAAGCTTCAGGCGAACGGCAATACAAATGAAGGTTATAGCAGCTTAAGGGGAGAGCGATGGTGGAAGTGCTATTTTATACAGGGACTCTCTAAAGGAAGTGAGGGGCACATCATGCTGGTTATTGAGGAAGAACATTCCTGAAGCAAGAATATGACTGATCTTCATGGAATTTTAAGGAGGCCACTGTAGCGAGAGAGAATAAAGTGAGGAAGAGAGTGTACGGGTCAGAGGGATGACCAGCAGCCAGCAGGTGGGACAGGTGGGTGATCACACATCCTGGTTACCCGCGGCAGTTCTGTTTGATGCCTGTTGTACTGGCTTAATTAATAGTGCCCTCTTTAATCAAAATTACGTTCCAGTTTGAACACTAAATCACATGGCCATCCTACTTACAGGCCACTGCACAGGATTTTACTGAATGAGATGGGAAGACACTGGAGAGTTTGAGTTGTGTCATGGTGTAAGTTTTAAAAATAATCATTCCCAGGCCAGCTGAGTGGTGCATTAAGAGTTGGCTTGGGACGCCAGCTCTGAGCAGCAGGGCCCTGGTTCGGATCCCACATAAGGGCCAGTGACGCTGCGCCCTCTACAGCTAAGATAGTGAACAACAGCTCGACCTGGAGCTGGGCTGTTGTTTGTCGCCAGTGATGGTGTACGCTGCAGTGGGGCGGCAGTGGGCTGCCATAAGCTACTGTGAATGGCCGGCAGGCGGAGTGAGCGGCCATCCAATGGCGGGCGAGTGACTGCCTCACCCAGGAAGAGTGCAATAATACCAACATGGGCCAGTGAAGTGATGTCCTCCACAACTAGACTGAAGAACAAAAGGACAGCAACTTGTCTGTTCCTCTCCCCCAACTCCCCAATAAAATCTTAAAAAAAAAATCATTACCACCACTACACCCATCCACCAAATGGCTAAAATGAAAAAGACATATCAAGTGTGGGCAAGGATGTGCAAGAACTGAAATTCTCCTCCACTACTGCTGGAATTGGAAACTGGCATTTGGAAAACCATTTGGCAGTACCTATGAAAGCTAACTCAGCAATTATATGCCTACATTTTTGTCCAACAGAAATGCAGAGACATGTTCACAAGTGTACAAAAATGTTCACAGCAATAATATTTGTAATAACAGCAAACTGAAACGACACAAATGTCCACTAAAGGTAAACAAATTGTGATATATTCATGACATGGAATACCATACTGCTATCCGCAACAAATGAATGAATCTCAGAAATATGATGCAAGAAGGCACCCAAAAATGTACATATTATAGGACTCCATTTAAACAAAGTTCAAAAACGGGCAACACTAATTGATGGTGATAGAAGTCATGAAAGTGGTTACCTTTGAGGGAAGGTAGTGAAGGGGGGGGGCGCTGCAGGGAGCTTCCAGCAATGCTCTATTTCTTGCTCTGAGTGTTGATTACATGAAGTGACCACTCTGAAATTTCATCAAGGGTGTGCTATACAAGTTTATCTTAAAAGAATTATTCTGGCTATTGTGTGTTGACTGAGGGAGACAAGAGTGGAAACAGACCAGTTAGGAGGTTTGGAGATGGTGGTTTCAGTGCAAAAGGTGAGAAGTGGGCGGGACTTGGGACATTTTGAAGGTGGAGCTGATAGAATTTGCAGATGGACTGGATGTGAGAGAAATCACAAACAACTAACTCTAAGGCTTTTGGGTTCAGGAACTGAGAGGCTGCAAGAAGCATTTATTGAAATATAGGACACCATTAGGAATAGGTTGTCTTTTTGTTGGTGTGCATGGAGACGGGTTAGGTGGGGAAATAAAAAGTTCAGTTTTGGACATGAGCTTGAGGCACCAATCACATGGACAGTCTGAATCGTAGCTAGACATAGTCTGGCATTCAAGAGGTTAGAAAGAGAAATTTGGCATTAGAAGAAAACAGAAGACCTATTTTCCACCAATCGGAAAAATCAACTCCATGTAGCTAAAGATGAAAATATACAAGTTAAAACAAAATTCTTCAAGAAAATCTAGGTGACCCTGTCTCAGAGTAGGGGATCTAAGTTTTGTGTCTTACAAATTATACAAGAGGTAGAGTACATATTTGATTATAAAATATAAAAACCTGTATATGGCAAAATACTGTAAGCAAAGTAAAAGCAAGATTAAAAACAACAGATTTGGGAAATTTTTTAACAGAAAAGATAGCCTTGACTGATAAGGAGGGGCCAGTTGATGGCTCAGTTGGTTAAGAGCGCGAGCTCTGAGCAACAGGGTTGCTGGTTTGATTCCCACATGGGCCAGTGAGCTGCGCCAGAGCTGAGCTGCCAACAGGTGGCAGGATGGCTCAGCTGGTGAGAGCATGTGCGCCTAATAACAAGGTTGCCAGTTCGACTCCCACATTGGATGGTGGGCTATGCCCACCTGCAACTAAGATTGAACACGGCACCTTGAGCTGAGCAGCCGCGAGCTGCCGACGGGTGGCTGGATGGCGACTGGACTTGGAGCTGAGCTAGCTGCGCCCTCCACAACTAAGATTGAAGGACAACAACTTGGCTGTTCCCCTTCCCCAATAAAATCTTAAAAAAAAAAAAAGACTGATAAGGAGACAAAACAACTAAACAGAAAAAACTATCACAGGACATAAATAGGCAAATTGCTTGCAAGGAATGACCCCAAAACGAATGCAAAATGCTGGAACTTGTTAACAGAGTGACAACATCATCCTTGTTGCATACTCCCAGGATAGAGGTACTGCCAGGCATTGCTGGTTGCAGGCCCCCCCTACCATTTGCAAGGGTTGAGGCAAGAATACAAATACAAATGGAAGCTCACACACCATGTTTACTATTTAGAAGTTATAAATATGTTCTATCCTCTTATTCTGATAAATGTATCTTGAAAAATATTGTAAAACTGTGGTTTTCCTATGACTGAAAGTTGACTTCATTATTATTGTACACATCTGAATCCTTTGATGATCAGCTGGTGATGTCTGGATGAGCGACACAGACACACAGACACACACCCACACCCACACACACATAAATTATGATTTATTTCATAGAACTTTTCCTTGCCTCATTTCAGAGAGCACTGATTATGTTCTTGTAATCAACACTGCCATACAACATGCATTCTATAGACAAAGTGCCAAATAAGACAACCTTTCTTGAGTCAATGTAGTTTAATTAATTTTAATCTGGAGAAGTTTCACTCTGCTGAGGCAGTAGCAACTGGAATTATCAATGAAAATTCTTAAAGCAGTACTTAGATTTGGAAATGAGTCCTGATTTTAACATTACCACACTCAAATGCTATATGGGATTACACATTATCACAGAAGATTTTACTAAGTATTTTAATTTGATCGTATAAGTCACAATCACTTATTGTAGTAATTTTCTTAAGCAGTATTTAGATCCATGCAGAATATCTTAAGTTCTTTCATATTTCAATGCTGGTCTATTATAAAGAAAATTGAAAATAATAGTATGTTGTTGGATTTTGTTTAAATCTCTCTTCAAATGATACTGTACTCTGATATATAATGAACAGAAAAATAGCCTCTGTAGAAACTGGTTTCAGGATTATTTGTATATGTAATCTTCTCCAAGTTAAGCAAATAGTTTTATTTCCTTGTTTCAATTTCCTTATATTTTATTGGAATGTCATATTTCACATGCAGCTTTGGTTTTGTTTCTCCACACTTAAAAAAGCCATTTTTAATCCTTTCAAACGTGAAATAGCCAAACAAATTTTTTTCAAAGCTTTTGTTAAGTTTACCAACAGAAATGAACAGTTCATACTAAATAGCTGTAGATAGCATAATTTCAAAATTAATTTCACTTTCTGTTCAAGTTCATGATTTGCTCTTTGAGAATCTTCTGTGGTTTTGCTGAACACTTCTTAACTAAATTAAATTTAACAGCATTTTGTTGGTTAAAAAGTCAGCTATGAGTTTAAGCAAGCTGTTCCAGCTTTGGGAACATCTATCAAATCTTGTATTGGACCCTCTCTTGTCCCACAACTGGCACAGCGGAGGGGATGTCTCCTAGAAACAAATTCGAACTGTGAGCTGTACATGTCATAATACTTCTGGATTCTTGGCCAAACTTCATGCTTTGATTTACCAACCATGTTAGCTCCATTATCACAGGCTTGCTTTCGATAGTTCTTAACATTAATTTTAAGATAAAAAGATTTCCCCAATTCTTTTTTTCATTCGAAACATGTACTTTAAAAAGCAGGTGTAAAGCCAATGAAATGCTCATTGATTTAGGCTCGTTTTTCTTCTCTGGCAGTGCAATGATGGAGATAATGCTAGTTGTTCAACATGTCTTCTCACCATGGAACATTCTATTGGATTGTTGGAAAAGTCATGATGCATTTTTGCATCAAAAAACAGAAAAATACGTCATGACTTTTCCGACAACCCACTAGTTCAACTATTTTATTTAAAAAATTTTATATATGATTTCACCTCTCATTTATTCTCCATTAAATTAATCTGTCTGAATTCTCTTTCCTAGATAGTGATCATTAGTTTCATTGTTATTTGTCCTAATTACGTTTGGCACTTTATGAAATTTTGAAGTAATTTTTACTAAACCTAGAAATTTTCCAGTTTTTTGTAAATACTGTTGATGGTGACATGAAAAGCATCACTAGGCTTGGCTAAATACTGGACACATTGTATTATTCTTTCAAGAACATTACATCGATGTTTTATATTGCTGTCTTTTTCCTGTATTATCAATTGTCTGTTTATTCAGCTGTTTCTCCTCAATTCTAGTGCCTGCACGTCTCTTTTCTTGTGTGATTCTTCGCAACGAGAACAAAGAATTTGTAACGTCCTCTTTGTGAATTTTATGTGGGTCATTGTGGAAGAAAAGTGCTTACTTTTATTGTTTTGTTTCTAAAAAAGTAAGCAGACTGCTTCTTGAAGATATTTTCCTTTTTCCTTTCAGCTTTTTTCCTTTTGTGAGATCCACTTTCGTATTCTTTTTCTATCAAAATCTTGACTTACACTCATCTTGCAATAATCTAGGGATTAAAAAATAAAATGTAATTATATTGTAAGTGTATAAAATTAGAATATATTTTCATAAAAAATAAAGAGCAAACCAAAAAAATTGAAAAAAAAATTGCAGATATAATTTCAAAGTTTTTTCCTAAAATATACAAAATTATCTAGTAATATTAAAGTTAAAACATGAATTATAATTAATAACATTTTAAATCAAAATTACTTAAAAGTTGAAATTTTAACATTGTACTTTTGAAAACTTATCTTTCAAATATTTTTGTAAGAATAAACCACTCGTAATGCTCATATTTAGTGCCCACGCAGTTGCTGACCTAGAGCTGGCTCTTCTTGCAAGTTCTGTCTAGCCCTGCGCTGTCCGACCCAGCAGGCCCCAGCTACCTGTGGGAACTGAGCACTGGGCATGTGCTGAAGTGTAAAATACACGTCACATTTGGAAGATTTTGTATGAAAGAAAAATATAAAATATCTCAAGTAATTTCTTAAATACATGTTGAAACAATATTTTGGATATAATGGGTTAAATATATTATTAATTTCACCTGTTTCGCTTTATTTTTTTTACGTGGCTACTAGATAATTTTAAGTTACAGATACAGCTCTCACATTTCTACTGGACAGTGCTGGTCTAGACCTACATATATATAAACTTCAGAGTAATGGGAATCAGCCCTCATGTGCAAGTTCTGCAGTTATTGTATTAACTCACAAACACCTCCAGAATCACAAATTTAAACACGCAGAGGAAAGAAATGGACACTTGGCACCACAGCGAAACAATACTTCGTTACGTAAGAACTGATGTGACAAGTTATCAATTTGTCTTTTTCCCTTACCTGAGTCCTTCCACTGTTCAATTCTTCACACTCCAGAGCAGTGTCCATTTCTGACGTCAGCAGTGGCACAATCCACAGACCTTTAGCCTCAGGTGGCCTTTGCTTTGAGGACGAAGAGCAAGAGCTGTGCAGAAGCGTTTCCCTGGAGGCTGAATGGTGTTAGTCACAAGAGTGGACGATGGGGGTTACGGGTCCTGCTGAGCCAGTGCTGAGCTACAGAGGTGCCCACATGTCTGTAATAAACCAACTGTTTTGGGTATTAGTATATGAAGGGCCTCAAAAGTGCAGGGCCCAGGGCAGAAGCCTCTCTTGCTTATATCAAGAGCAATACTGGCTGGTGGAGATGTGTGTTGTTGCAAAATTTTTGGAAAGCCATGTGGCAACATCTATTAAGATGTACATGGGGTCGGCCAAGTGGCGTGTTGGTTAAGAGTTGGCTTGGGATGCCGGCTCTGAGCAGTAGGGTCCCGGTTTGGATCCCACATTAGGGCCATTGATGCTGTGCCCTCTATAGCTAAGATGGTGAACAACAGCTCAACCTGGAGCTGGGCTGTTGTGAGTCGCCGGTGACTGTGTAAGCTGCAGTGGGGCTGGCCGGCAGCTGCCGTGTGCTTTCGTGAGCTGCCATGAGTGGCTGTCCAATGGCCGGCGAGCAACTGCCTCACCCGGGAAGAGCGCAATAATACCAACATGGGCCAGTGAAGCAACGTCCTCCACAACTAGACTGAAGAACAAAAGAACAGCAACTTGTCTGTTCCCCTTTTCTGATTACCCAATGCTATTTCCCTCCCCCAATTCCCCAATAAAATCTTAAAAAAAAAAAAGTACATGAACCACTGATGAAGTAACCCCATTCCTGGGACTCCAGCCTATAGATACAATAGCACACCTGGTAAGGTTATCAACAGGTACCAAGATCCTCATATGGCCAATCTTGTAAAAACAGATTTTCAACCTGGGAAGCTTTTTCCTAATATACCCGCCTCGCTTCTCCATCTCAGATCTATTAAATCAGAATCTTCAGGGAAGGGGTTCAGGTATGTCTATTTTGAAAAAGCTCCCTAGGTGATACTAAAGTATACCTCTGGTTACATAATATGAATCTAAAAAAAATATGCAAAGTTAGTAGATTATATTCACTGTAAATTCCCAGGCCATATTCAAATTTTATTTTGCTTTAAATAAGGGAGCTTTACTTGGGAATTTGAAACCTGCAACACAGAAAACCAAAATTCAGAATCTATGATTAATTCTAACTTCTAAGAGTTATGCTGATTTCTCTGCACTATGGAAGAGGCCTGAGTAAGTTCCCAGGGTACACTAGATGACAGAGAACCTGTTTAGTCTACCTAAGATAACACACTGATCAAGGAGTACCCAGACAGTTAATCCATTAACATAAGGAATTCTCCTCTTAAATCGGGTTGGAGAAGGAGCTGTTAACCTAGTTTGAGTTAGTATTCATAGGAGTAATAAATGAGGTTAAATTTAAGAATCAAAACAGCAGTTTTCCCACTATTTAGTGTGAATTATTTTTTCAATTTTCCAAAACTGAAACTACCAAGTGATATTTGACTTATTTAAGACATGTAGATAATCAGATAGTTGTCAAAACTTTCCCACTTGAATAACTCCCAAAACTGTGAGCCCCAGATGATACTTACTTTTGTTGGTCTGGTTTCTGAGCACATTTCTCATGCTTCTCTTTTTCTAGGTGTTTTAGGTTTCTCTCTGTTACCAGCTGCTCCCCAGGAACTGTTGGAATCCCCATGGCTGCAGCAAATTTTGCTGCACCTTGGTCAGTCAGGAAGCAATGAGGTGTCTTGAACCAGAAAGAAAGGGAAAAATGGTTAGTTTTTGTTTTTTTTTAAAGATTTTTATTGGGGGAATTGGGGGAATGGGAACAGTGCTGGGGAATTGGGGGAAGGGGAACAGACAAGTTGCTGTCGTCTTGTTCTTCAATCTAGTTGAGGATGTTGCTTCACTGGCCCAAGTTGGCACCATCATTGCACTCTTCTCTGGCGAGGCAGATCAGTCGCCGGCTTCTGGACGGCCGCTCACTGCGGCTGCTGGCCGCTCACGCTGGCTGCTGGCTACATACGGTAGCCCATGGCAACCCACTGCCACAAGGGCTGCAGCCTACGCCGTTGCAGGCGACTCACGGCAGCCCAGCTCCAGGTTGAGCTGTTGTTCAGCATCTTAGCTGTAGAGGGCAGTGTCACTAGCCCTCATATGTGGGATCCGAACCGGGGCCCTCTGGCATCCCAAGCTAGTTCTTAACCATCGCGCCACTCGGCTGGCCCAATGGTTAGTTTTTTGAAAAAGTTAAAATCTTTTTAACTGTTCCAACTGTGTGGAAATAATTATTTCTCTCTAGGTACAAAGCCTCAAAAATGTTAAGAAATGTTTTGCTTTTCAGAATGTTGAAAAGAGTCTGGCTCTCTGAATTTTTGTATTAAAAAAAAAAAAAAGCCCAAAATGATGGAATAATGCTAGGAATGTGACTTACATATGATCTTATATTTAGAGAACTTAATCCATTTTTATTTGACACATGCTATAAACAGCTGGGCTGTTTAATTTCCATGTGTTATGTGTGTTGAGAGAAGGCTGAAGAAAAAACAGGAGGGTAACATGAAAACAAAGTAATCACTGGTCAAGCGATTACTAGTCAAATCACATGAACAAAGTCAGAACTGTGGCTTATCTGAGAAATTTAACATTACTTCTGTTCTTTTATGTAGCTTTTGGAGAAGAGTGATCTCAAGTATTTCCATACAGTGAGAACGCTTTTAGTCACTAAAGTACAGCAGTGACAATCCCTTTGGAAAAGGATACTTTGGTCACATGTACCTTTTCCATAACAAGCCGTGCAAGTCTAATGGGATTTGCGATACACTGGACTGCAGATACAGCTCCTGAAGACAGGTCTTTTCCATTCATGATACTAGCGTCCATTTCAACTTCACCATTTACATTCAAGACAGATCCACAACCTAAACCCAAAAAGATGAAAGCAAGAATTAAGAAACAGCCTTCAAGTTTCCTCTAAGCGGTCTATTTTAATTCATCTTCCACTCCACTGCCAGAGGAACATTTCTTAAAACAAAAATCTGACTGGGCATCACATAACCTCCAAAATCAATAATAGTACGAAGCCCTTCGTGACCTGGCCTCTGACTTACTTTTCCAGCTTCATCTACTTTCCTTGGCTATATTTTACTGAAATACTAGGTTTCCCTGAATGTACCTTAAACTCTTATTACTCACTCTGTGCCCTTGGCACATGGTCTTCTCTTTACCACTAGCATCCTTCCTCCAACTTTCTCTGCTTAGATAATGCCTGTAAGTCTGCTATTCTTAACTTCTTTGTGACTGTTTCCTCATCTGTAAAAATGGGATAAGAACAAAGCTCAAGAATATTTAAAGGGTTCTAAATATACTGGGCACCTAACAAGGTAAAATTCACAGTGTTTGGTATCCAATAAGAAATTACCAGGCACACAAAGAAACAGGAAAATATGACCCATGATAAGGAGGAAAAAATTAATCAATGGTAACAGATCCAGAAATGACACAAATGTAGAATTGTAGACAAGGATGTTAAAACAGCTTTTATAACTATATTCTATATGTATCAGAACATGGAGGAAACTATGAAAAGGACCCAAACAGAACTTTTAGAGATGAAAAAAGTCTGAAATGGAAAATACTAGATGGGGTTAACACCAAATTAGGTAGGAGTGTAGACAGTGTCAGAATTGAGTTGAATTACTGGACACCCAGCTGGTGACTGAGAATCGCTTGGTGGTGTGGGAAAACCCATACACATCGCAATGGGGTACAGAGTCTTAGGAGCAAAGCCAATAAAATGGAGCAAAGATAAGTCTTTTCAACAAATGGACGTCCACATGCAAAAAAAAGGAATCTAGACACAGTCTTAATGTTCTTCACAAAAATGAAGTAAAAAGGGATCGCAGACATAAATGTAAAATGCAAAACTATAAAATTCCTGAAAGATAACACAGGAGAAAATCTGGGTTTGGCTTTTTAGGTACAACATCAGAGGCATGAACCATGAAAGAATAAATTAAGTTGGACTTCATTAAAATGAAAAATTTCTTATGAAAGACACCATCAAGAGAATGAAAAGACAAGCCACAGACTGGGAGAAAGTATTTGTAAAAGACATATCTGATAAAGGACTGTTATCCAAAATATATTAAAAAATCCTAAAACTCAGTAAGAATACAACTTCATTGAAAAACAAGTCAAAGACTTTAATAGACACTCCAACAAAGAAGATCAACGGTAACAAATATAGGTGGTAAATACGCATATGAAAAGTCAACTGCATTTTTACATACTAATAATGAACAATTGGGAATTTAAAATTTAAAAAGTAGTATTTACAAGAGCACCAAAATACACGAAATAATTAGGTATAAATCTAACAAAATATATGGTATGTATGCTGAAAACTACAAAACATTGATGAAAGAAGTCAAAGATCTAAATTAATAAAAGTATATGCTGTGTTCATGAATTGGAAGGCTCAGTATTGTTAAGATTTTAATTCTCTCCAAACTGATCTATAGATTCAATACCATCCTAAACAAAATTCTAGAATTTTTTTTTTGATAGAAATTGACAAGGTTACTCAATTTGTGGGAAAGTCAAAAGGACTAGAACAGTCAAAACAATCATGAAAAAAATAGAAGACTCTTACTACTTAAATTGAAGACTTAATATAAAGGTATGGTAATCAAGACAGTGTGGTATTTGTGAAAGGATATACATATAGACCAAAGAAACAAAATAGAGTCCAGAAATAGACCCATGCATACAAAGTCAATTGATTTTTTTTTTTTAAAGATTTTTATTGGGGAATTGGGGGGATGGGAACAGTGCTGGGGAATTGGGGGAAGGGGAACAGACAAGTTGCTGTCGTTTTGTTCT